GCCGGTGTGCGGGGAGCGAACCTTAACGACCGCCCAGAAGCTTTCTGAGCGAACCAATCGGGCCAGGATCATCAGCATATGTCCCCTGCACAACATCGTGGGCGTTTGAGCGGTATTTGAGGAGCACCGCGACTCTGAAGTTCGGCCGGGTGGTCTGCAGACCCCCCCCCCGGAGCAGCAGAGGCTCCGTGGGGTCGAAAAGTCGACGCTGGGAGTCGCACTCGTCAAACCGTCGCAACACCACGCGGTCCGCACGTACCTCCCACATCCCCTCCACCGCTGAGAAGGCGCAGATCGACCGCCGGGCCGCGTAGTCGTCGTTAAGGAGCGGTTTTTGGAGCCGTACGAAGAGGTCCCAGACGGGCGAACATGCGGTTTTTCGACGACCACACGCGATGTGGTATCTGGTTTTTGCTAAAAACGGGCCGCCTAGTGCAGCATCACTAGTACAACACGCAACCACACTGAGAGCTCCACACTAGCCGGTATAGGCGAGCCCCGGCGGCCTCACCGTCGCCGCTCGCGGCGGAGCCGACGGCGGAGCCACGGGTCGGTGCGACCTTTTGGGGGCCCATGAGCTCGCCGGGACGTCACCGATGGCTCGGCGCGCCTCTTCCCGCCAGCGCGGGGCGGCCCACCTACAGGAGCGAGGGGGAGGTGGTCGTGCGCTCACTTTGGCGGTCGCGCGCGAGGTGAATACTGGGTGTGAGGCGCGCAGGAGGCGATAGTGGGCGCGCCGGCGGTCGAGCCACCGAAGAATTCGACGTGGCGCAGCTCCGCGCCGGCGGGGACGACCGAGCACATGATGTCGGCGGCGGTCACGCGACGAGGGAGAGCCGCAGGAGCCCTCTGAGAGCCAGGCGCCGAAAAGCAGCGTGGGCGGCGGCCGCTATCAGCCACCTGTGGGCGGTCATCGGGGTCGCGGTCAAGCGCTGCCAGGGTTGGATCCGGTGCGTCTGGTATCACTGGTGGGCTGGGTGTGCAGCAGCCGCGCTCAAAAAGAGGGAAAAAACTCGACAACTGTTTGGAGTGTCTACTCTTTCGACGCACCGTCCTCGACCGCGCTGAAGAGCTGGCTGGTGGTCGCGCGCGGCGCGTCAGCGCCACTCCGACTGGTCGGGCACCTCGGCTGGGTCCATCAGCACGAGGCCCGCCCCGTCGGGAAGCCCAGCGAGCGCATGGGCGGGCGGAGATCGGCGGCCGAGAATCCGCAGCTCTGGTACCAGAAAAGACGAGGGAAGGTGGCCAAGCGGGCGGGTCAAGTATGTTACATCATAGCGGTCAGAGGTTCGCATTCGGGCCGGTTGGCTGCGGGTTCGAGGCCGGGCGGGGGGGGAGCGGGGGGGCACACCATCCTCAAATCCTCGAATCATCGAGATCATCGAGAGCGTCGTGAGCGTTGATTCCGTGCTGATTTTTGCGCGCGAGCGTCGCGATTTTTGGTCTGGTTGGTCCGTCGTGGCCGGTGCGCGGGAAACTCGCCGAAAACCCGCGCAGCCGGCCGATTGTACGACCGAGGTCGCTGAGCCTTGGCGACGCGGCGCGCGCGTCGCCAAGGAGTTCGTAAAATGTCAGAGTTTTTTTCGTGGTGTGTGGAGAAGGTTGCGGTACGCGTACAGTTTTCGTTAGCGCGATCTCCATACCCGGGCATTTCAACAAATCGTCATGTCTGCTCATTTTCACAGAATGCGGCGAGGTCCACCGGAGCCGCGCGGCCGCTCCCCTCCAAGACTCGCTCGCGCAATCGCAGCAGCCGCGCGACGCAGCGCCGCGGCACCTCCTCCACCTAAGGGAAAATCCAGTACACTTCTCCACACACACGCAAGAGGTGTGGTGCGGCAAGGGGCGGCAACCCTCTCGACTCCCCATCTAAAGGAGGCCGGCAAGCAGTGCAAGGCCCAGTGCGCGTGGTGGCTCGTCCACACACCTCCCCCGGCCGCAGCTCGCCGAGCTCGAACGGCCCGTAAGCGTCGCGCACGAGCCTAAGGGCAGGTGAGGTAAGGTCAGGTAAACGTCTCTCACGCCAAACACAAACACGACTCTCTCTCTCTCTCTCTCTCGCTCTCTCACGCCGCCGCCAGCCCACCACCACACGGGGACTCTAAGAGAGGAGTGTGTACACTTCTCAGCTTCTCCACTTCTCCGACGCACATGGGGTGGCGGGGCAAGGGCCAGGCTAGTCCCTCGCGTCTCCACGTCTAGACGACAGGAGCCGGCACGGCATTGAGTGTGCAAGGCTCGGTCGGCGGGATCTCTATAACTGCTTCCCAGCAGGCGTGGCAGCGGGGTCTCTCTTCCAGATCCCATCTCTCCATCCAGCAGGCGTGGCAGCGGAGTCTATCTGCGGGAACCCCTTCTCTCTCTGCATCTCAGCCTCGCGCCTCGAGACGACGAAGCCAAAGTGCTGCCACGCGCGGCGCACCTGGCGCAAGGAAGTCACCCTGGACTTGCTCCTCAACCAATAGCAGCGGCAGCTGCTGTTGCTGCTGCTGTTGCGGTTGCCTCGCGGGTCTTGCCCTCGACGACGGCGGCTAATCTCGGCTACTCTCGGCTACTCTCGGCTCCTCTCGGCTCCTCTCTGCTCCGCTCGGCTACTCTCTGCTCCGCTCGGCTACTCTCGGCTACTCTCGGCTACTCTCGGCTACTCTCGGCTACTCTCGGCTACTCTCGGGCGCACCTCTCGGGTCTTGCCCTCAACGAGGGTCATTCGCACCCACTCGTGCCCCGTCGCCGCCGGCTGCAGCGGCGTGCGCACCGCCTATGGGGGGTGGGTGGGTGGGTGGGTGGGTGGGGAGGGGGGGGGGGGGGAGGCAGCGGGGAGGAGAGGGAGGAGGGAGGAGGGGAGGAGAGGGAAGGCAGTGGAGAGGAGAGGGAGGAGAGGGAGAGGAGGGGAGGAGAGGGAAGGCAGTGGAGAGGAGAGGGAGGAGAGGGAGGAGGGAGGAGGGGAGGAGGGGGTAGGAGTGCCCTGATCGGCCGAAAGCGAGTCTGGTCGCGCAGCGTGAGCCTACACCCGCTCATCAACAACTGTCAGACTAGCTGAAAACTAAAACATGGAAGGACTTGTCTGGTCGCGCAGCGCGAGCTCATCAGCAACTGTCAGACTAGCGTGCGCCCACGTTGCGAAGACGCCAGGTGAGTCTCGCCGCAGAGAGAACACGAGATATGGGGAGATATGGGGAGATGTGGGGAGATGTGGGGAGATGTGGGGAGATATGGGGAGATATGGGGAGATACGGGGAGAGATGGGGAGAGATGGGGAGATATGGGGAGATACGGGGAGAGATGGGGAGATATGGGGAGATACAGGGAGAGATGGGGAGAGATGGGGAGATATGGGGAGATATGGGGAGATACGGGGAGAGATGGGGAGATATGGGGAGATACGGGGAGAGATGGGGAGAGATGGGGAGATATGGGGAGATATGGGGAGATACGGGGAGAGATGGGAGAGGTGGGGCGAGAGTCTGACTCTAGTAGAGCCAGAGCCTACGTGCTGAATACGCCAACCTCAGGGCGGGAGGACGGTATTGTGCAGCGTGTTCAGAGCACGGCGTGAAGACGACGGAGAGGAAGACAGTGAATGCAGCGGAATACGGGTGGTGAACACAGCGGAACACGTGGCCCTCTCGGGCGCTAGTAGGGAGACAAGCATCCGTATTCTGACTCTAGCAGCGCCAAACCCATCGCCCATCGCCCGCAGCATCGCGCCGGTGACGCCGCGCTCCTACATACACGAGATCTGGGGAGATATGCTCGAGATATAGGGAGATTGCATCGCGCCGGTGACGCCGCGCTCCTACGTACACGAGATCTGGGGAGATATGCTCGAGATATGGGGAGATTGCATCGCGCCGGTGACGCCGCGCTCCTACGTACACGAGATATGGGGAGATATGCTCGAGATATGGGGAGATTGCATCGCGCCGGTGACGCCGCGCTCCTACGTACACGAGATCTGGGGAGATATGGGGAGATATGGGGAGATATGGGGAGATATCATCGCGCCGGTGACGCCGCGCTCCTACTTGGAGGAGTACGTGTCCTCTCGGGTGCTAGTTGGGATACGAGAATGCGGTATTCCGCTTCTAGGCATGAGATATGGGGAGATGTGGGGAGATATGGGGAGATATGGGGAGATGTGGGGAGATATGGGGAGATACGGGGAGATATGGGGAGATATGGGGAGATATGGGGAGATGTGGGGAGATATGGGGAGATGTGGGGAGATATGGGGAGATACGGGGAGAGATTCCTGTCCGGTGCACACGAGCGCGCGGTACTTGCGCTCGAACGCGTTCGAGGGAAGCTCGAGCATCCTGCGCCAGGAGACGGTGCAGGGGAGCTCCGGAAGAGGTGGCGCGGGAGGCGCCGCACGGACGGTTCGGAGAAGGGGCGTCTGGAAAGCGCCTCGCTGTGTGCGTGAGTTGATACGGGCTGGAGCACGCCGCACAGCAGGCGTCAGGCGTCTAGGAAGTGCTCCGAGAGGCGTGTCTAGGGAGCACGCGCCGTGCAAGCGGGCCAGAGTTCGTGAGCAGCAGCAAGCCCTCGCTCCGAATATCGAGCCGGCCGACGGACAGCACGCGAGGCAGCCAGCCAGGCAGCGACGCGAACACCGTCGGCCTGCGCTGTGGGTCTGAGGCGGTGGTGATGAGGCCATCCGGCTTGTGAAAGCGCCACAGTCGCGGCGGTGCCACCTCCAGCGGCGTCAGCTCGCCGTCGACCGTCACGCGGTCCGACTGACGCACGCGCGCCGCCGGGTTGCTAACCTGGACTCCGTTGACGCACACGCGGGCGTCGGCCGTCATCCGGTTCGCCTCGCGGCGAGACCAGCGCCCGGTAGCGGCGAGCGCCTTTGCGAGGCCGCGCTGGAGGTGGGACATACTCACTCGAGCAACGGCGGCGGCGGCGGCCGAGGGCGCGGGCGGCGAGGGAGGGGAGGGCGTGGGCGGCGAGGGCGGCTGTAGCGTGTTGGTGCTGCCCGGCGACTGGGGCGCCAGGAGATGTCACGCCGGTTTGCTGCGCGTTGCGGGTTCGGTGCTGAGCAGGTACGGTGCCGACTGTGGTGACATCGCCGGAAACGAATTCTCGCGCGCTTCGCACCGCCAACCCCACCCTCCGCAACGCCCCACCCGACCCACCCCACCCTCCGGCTCCCCAAAGCCGCAATCGGCTCCGCCCCCCTCCCGATCCCCCCTGCCTGCGCGTGCGCTCGCCGCCCGCGCCGCCGCCTCCCCCATCCGTGCCACGGACTGCCTGCCAGTCCTTTATAGTGCCAGTCCTAGGAAGGTGAAGAACCGTGTTTGTTATGACCCCCCCAGTGAACACACCAGTGAGGGAGGGCGAGAGAGAGAGAGAGAGAGAGAGAGAGAGAGAGAGAGAGAGAGACTCTCTCTGATCCCGCCTGTGGTGTTGGGTGCGAGGTCGTGGAAGCTTCGATCCCAAGGGGGGGAGCTGAGCCCACTCGATAACCAACTCTCAGGGGCAGTAGGTGGGCGAGCTTCAAGCGCGCTCATCTCGAGACCCTCGGCGGCGAGTCGACATGCATAATTTGCTTCACTCAGCCAAAGTCGCACGCCGCGGTGCCTTGCGGGCACCGCTGCGCTTGCGCCGACTGCTCCGCCAAGATCATGGAGCGTGACCGTCGGTGCCCGTACTGTCGCGAGGAGGTGATGATGTGGATGATTCCACGCGAGGTCTGAGATTGGACCTTTCTTATTTCTTTTTCAGCCGACCGTCAAAACATTTATGATGCGCGCTATGAGACCAGACCGGCGATGGCACCACGGCGGAATGCAGCCCGAGCTGCCAGTCACGGTCAAGGCGTGTGGTGCTACAAATATGCGGCACGCTGTCGCTGACCGTGCGCAAGCAAGTTCACTACTTTACGAGAGCATCGGTCACAGTGACGCTCGAATGAAGACCTCTGCGTGTGCGAGGCCCTCTGCGCGTGATCCCCCGTCTGTGTAAGCGCACCTTTCACAGCCTCTGCTTCAGCGTCTCGTCGATGGACACGAGCCGATCCAGCCTGTCGTTCACGCCTCCGATCTGCTCTGTCAGCTCGTCCATCTTCTTCTCGACCGTCTCCCTGACGGCGGCGGCGAAGAAAAGGGCGCTAGCCGCCGAGGCTGCGTCCGCATCGGGCGGCAGATCCTGCCTCAGGCTGCGGTAGAGCTGCACCCAGGTCTGCTGGTCGGCGTCGGTCCCGTAGCCTGCCCAACACACGCACCCGCGGGTTGGGGCTCGGCAGGCGGGAGGGTGGCGCGTGCCGAAAGAGCCTCTTGGCGTGTGCACAGAGACGGACTCACCGGCGTGCAGATGGTGCAATGCGCACATGGGCAGGGAGGGCAAAAGTAAGCGGAGTCAGAGAGTGGGAGCAGCAGCGGGTAGCGGCGGTCGGCACACCGCTCTCGCTTCCGCCTTGCAGCACGCCCTGATGGGCAGCGTCGCTGAGCTGGTCGGGCGCGGCGGCGGCGGCGGTGCGCGGGGACCCGAGGAGACGAGGCGACCGGCGAGGCGAGCCAAAGTTGCTCATTGGCGAAGCTGCGACGCTGAAAGCAGGCCGTAGGCTTCAAAGTCGGCGGTCGCGGGGACGGACGCGCTGAAAGCAGGCCGGTCGCGCGCTACTAGGCCCAATGACAAACCGCCACGCCTACATGAGCGCGCACGTCGGAGGCGACGGCGGCGACGGCGAACTGCCGGCATCTATCTGCATGAAAGAAGTCAAGACCGACGTCAAATCAGTCTTGGATGCCGGCTTCTTTGACGATGAGCCGCGCCCTGCGCTGCGTGTGAAGTACGGCGACACTGAGGGCGTCGTCGTTTTCCCCAAGGAGTACGCTGGTGCCCCTACTGTTTTCTTCGACCCGAAGGCTGAAGTGGGACTTTCGATGGCCGTCATTGCGAAGGCGCTTGCTGCCATGGACTCCAAGCCCCTCAAGCATACCCTGTATCGTATCGAGCCCAAGATTTATGTGGACCTCGAGACGGTGTTCCGCTTAGTCATTCTCCCGCAGATGCGGGAGTGAGCGACGCCCTGCGGGGCCCGGGCCGGCGCGGTGGGTACATAGTCTTCTTTCGACGCGGACCCGTACCACTCGAACCAGCCGCTTCAGCTTCAGCTGATAGGATCGTCTGCTGCGATTGTCTGCTTCTTTGATTTGATAAAAAAGAGAACCGAGAGCCCAGGTTCACAACACGAGCTCGCTGAGACTCGGGAGAGCCCAGGTTCACAACACGAGCTCGCTGAGAGTCCCGGGCTCACACACAAGCTCGATGCCCGCGTCCGCTCATCTCCACGTAGCAGACACGAAACAGCCGCCGTGTGCGGCGCGGCGGCATTGCGCCTGCGCGTTCCCATGCTAGGGGAGGGCGCCGAGGGCGGAGAGGTGCTCGCGCGCTTCCGCGACGGGTGCCCATGGTAGAGGCGAAAAAGTCATGTTCACTATGCATTGGCCGCCGAGCTCCGGGCCCGCCGGCTTAACGAGGAGCACCGTTTGCACAACGAGCTTGGGGTCAAAGTTGCGCACGACGCGGTTGCAGTCAACTCGTCGACTCCTAGGCTTTTGGCTTCCACGCAGGCTCTGGTGTAGACGGTGCACTCCTCTTCTTCCATGTTGAGAGACGGACGACGCTCAAGTTTCGATGGACGGGCGGCACGACGCTCGAGATGACGCTGATGCGGTCCATCCGCGGGAGTACGTACTCCCGAGGCTCGTGCTTGCGAATTCGGCTGTGATCGATTTCGCGCTCGTCGCCCACTGCGTCACACTTCTCAACGATACCGTAGCAGGGCTGAGTCGGCGACGCCGGCGTCGCCGTGGCTGCGCGCCGCGTGCATGGTCCGCGTACTCGCGGCGCTACCTCGCCCCTTCGCCTGGTATCGCACCTATGTGCGCAAGCAGCCCGAGGTGCTGCGCGTAGCGCACCGCTGCCTCGCGCACTGGAGGCCCGTTCGTGCGGCTGGTATGGTGATAAGACAGAACGGCCCCAAAAATCTCGCTTCTCGGCCCCCGGAACCGACCCGTGGGCCCCGGCCGTCTGCCGCACCCAGCTCCGCCGGGAGGGGCGCGCGCCGTTCTCCGCGGCTCGGGCGGGCCACGAAGACGCGGCGGGGGAGCTTCTAACTTGTGCCCTGTGAGTGCCGCCACACCGCCTCAAATAGGTCCCAAAGTGGGGTTTGCCTCAAGTGCCGCACACCTCACACCCCCCCAAGCCTCATTCTCCGCAGCACATGCAGTGCAAGCTGTGCTGCCAGAGCGAGACCGATCGCGCACAACGTGTGTGGTGTGAGCTGGTGGTGCCGCTCACGGCCGCTGCCGCCATTGGCTCAACGCGCCATGCTCACAACACGCGGCCGTCCCTCTCACGCAATCCGCACCGCGGCGGCGCCGGGGCGGTGCCGACGAGACTGCCTCGCCACCAACTGCCGAAGGTCGTCGACCGACTCGAGCGAGCCTTCCCCGCACAGCTCGGGCAGCAGCCACGTCGCGATGCCTAGAAGAGAGCAACGCGGCTCAAGAAAAGAACTCATCGCGGCGAGCGGACAGCCACCGTCGCCACGCCTAGAAGAAGAAATGCGGCTCGCCAAAGGAAAAGACAGCGCGTCGGGCAGCCAGCGTCGCCACGCCCGCGATGAGAGACAGGGCGCCCCAGACCGCGTAAGGGACGGGCGGCGAGCGGTCGCCCGCGAGCAGGAGCAGCGGCGAGAGAAAGCCGCCGATCCGGGCGACCTGCAGAACTTCGTTCAAGCCGTAAACTGGTCTGGCGGACTGGCTGCAGAGCGAGATGTGGGGAGATGTGGGGAGAGATGGGGAGAGATGGGGAGAGATGGCGAGAGATGGCGAGATACGTCTGGCGGCCTGGCTGCAGAGCGAGATGTGGGGAGATGTGGGGAGATATGGCGAGAGATGGCGAGAGATGGCGAGAGATGGCGAGATACGTCTGGCGGCCTGGCTGTGCCAGAGCGAGATGTGGGGAGATGTGGGGAGATATGGGGAGATACGTCTGGCGACCTGGCTGTGCCAGAGCGAGATGTGGGGAGATGTGGGGAGAGATGGCGAGAGATGGCGAGATATGGCGAGATACGTCTGGCGACCTGGCTGCAGAGCGAGAAGCTGGGAGATGTGGGGAGAGATGGCGAGAGATGGCGAGAGATGGCGAGATACGTCTGGCGACCTGGCTGCAGAGCGCCAGCCCAGTCGCGCGGACGTCGGTGGGTAGCACCTAAGGGCACAGCCCCGGTCCCACGATCACGCACACGGCATCACCCTCAAGCACAGACACAGCCCCGGTCCCACGATCACGCACACGGCATCACCCTCAAGCACAGACACAGCCCCGGTCCCAAGATCACGCACACCCGAGTCGAGAGCAGACAGAGAGCGACGGCAGTCGGACGGCGCCACTGGGTAGGAGGAGGCCGAGCGTGAGATCCGCCTCTATGCGTGCGAGCTCTAGCCAGCACCTCTGCTGAGAGCACGTACCCGCCCGTCTAGGATGTGTCTAGGAAGTGTCTAGGAAGTGTCTAGGAAGCCAGCACCTCTGCTGAGAGCACGTACCCGCCCGTCTAGGAAGTGTCTAGGAAGTGTCTAGGAAGTGTCTAGGAAGTGTCTAGGAAGCCAGCACCTCTGCTGAGAGCACGTACCCGCCCGTCTAGGAAGTGTCTAGGAAGTGTCTAGGAAGCCAGCACCTCTGCTGAGAGCACGTACCCGCCCGTCTAGGAAGTGTCTAGGAAGTGTCTAGGAAGCCAGCACCTCTGCTGAGAGCACGTACCCGCCCGCAAACGCGCACGAGACGCAGACCGTTCCCAGGGTAGAGATGGCGGCGTGCAGGGAGCCCTCGCCGCCGCCTAGAAAAAGAAAAGGCGCGCACTGAAAAGAAAGCTGCGGGGGAGGGTGGCGTGGACAGAGCCCTCGGCGCCGCCGCCGCCGCCCCCCGCCCCGCCGCCGCCGACGGCCGCTGTCGCGGCGCACGCGGCTGCCGCGACCAGCAGCAGCGCCGACATTGTCGATCGGCGACCGAGCACCTCGGGAAATCGAAGGGAAATCGTGGCTGCAGAGACGAAAACAAGGCCGCGCGCGTCGGTGGGCGGCCGAGCAGCTCGAAGGCGCAGCTGGTGTGGGAGAGATGGGGAGAGATGGGGAGAGATGGGGAGAGATGGCGAGAGATGGCGAGCACCTCGAAGGCGCAGTTGGTGAGGAGGAGCGTCGGGATCTGCAACGCCGCCGACCAGAGCGCGGTGACAATGTCGGACGCCTGAGGAGTTCATCAATGCCCTCTTCCTCTCCTCTCCTCTCCCTTTCTCCTCTCTCTCCTCTCCCTCTCCTCTCCCTCTCCTCTCCCTCTCCTCTCCCTGCGCCTGATTAGTTCATCAATGCGCATCAGAGTGCATCAAACATTGATGGGACCAGAGCGCGGTGACGATGTCGGACGCCTCGTTATTAGGCCAACCATGTGAGTGTTGCTGAGCGCCGATTAGAGCGCGGTGGACGGCGTGAGGCCTCGCGCGGGGAGGGGCCGACGAAGTGTCTGGGAAGTGTCTTGGAAGTGTCTAGGAAGTGTCTAGGACGCCTCGCGCGGGGAGAGGCCAAAGAAGTGTCTAGGAAGTGTCTTAGAAGTGTCTAGGAAGTGTCTAGGACGCCTCGCGCGGGGAGGGGCCGACGAAGTGTCTGGGAAGTGTCTTGGAAGTGTCTAGGAAGTGTCTAGGACGCCTCGCGCAGGGAGAGGCCAAAGAAAAGAGCAGAGTACACGAACCTAAATAAATACATAAATAAATAAATAAATAATAAATAAACGAAGAAGAGAGCAGAGTACACGAACCAGTGCAGGCAGAGGACGAGCACGACGCGGCGGAGGGCCGGCTCCTAATACTCTCAGTGACGACGCACTCAGGGACGGCTGCAGCTGTGAACACCGACGCCCCTCCTCCCCCGGCCGCAGCGCCTCCCACATCAGCGCGGCCAGCCCGCCGCCGCCGCCCCGCGCGCCGCCGCCGCCGCCGACCCCGCCGCCGCTGCTGCTGAGCCCTGCAGGCGCCGCGTTGCTAACTCGTTATGCACCAGGGAACGACCACGTGTCGGCTAACCTCGGCTCACCTCGGCTCACCTCGGCCACTCTCGACATGTCTCGGCTAGGAAGTCTCTGGGAAGTGTCAAGGAAGTATCTTGCTAGGCGCTCCTCTGCCACGTCCTCCGCCACTGCCCGCCGCCGTCTAGGAAGTGTCTGGGAACGGTCTAGGAAGTGTCTAGGAAGTGTCTCGCTAGGCGCCCAACCGGTCGCGAAGCTCTTCCCGCGCGCAAAGGAGGCGAGGCGGCGCGGCGTCAGCGGCAGCGGAAGACCGTCCAGCTGCTCGCCGCCGCCGCCGACCCCCCCTCCCTTGCTCTCGCCGCCGCCGCCGCCGCCGCCGCCGCCGCCGCCGCCATCGCCGGCGCCGTCGGCGGCTCCGTCTTCGTGCTCGCCGCCGACATCGGCGCCGACGTCTGGCAGTGCGGGAGGGGGAGGTCTGCCGTTTAGCAGCGCCATGCGCCGCAGCACCTCCGCCGCCTGCGCCGGAGTGAAACAGGGTCCGTTCATGATAACACAATCATGCGCCGCCGCGCGGCCGAGAGAGAGGGAGAGAGAGAGAGAGAGAGAGAGAGAGAGAAGAGGGAGAGAATCTCCCTCTTTTCCTCCCTTTTCCCTCCTTTTCTTTCCCCTCTCTCCCTTCCCCCCCTTCTTTTTTTTCCCCCCTCCCCCTTCCTTCCCTTCTCCCTTCTTTTTTTTCTTCCCCCTTCTTTCTTTTTCCCTTTTCTTTTTTCCCTTTTTCTCTTCCTTCTTTTTTTTTCCCTTTTCTCTCCTCCCCCTTTTCCCTTTTTTTCCCCTTTCTCCCTTTTTTCCTTCTTTTCCGTCTTATTCTCTGTTTCCTTTCTCCTTCTCTTTTTTCGCCCCCCTTTTTGCCTTTTCTTTTTCCTCTTTTCCCTTCTTTTTCCCTTTTTCCCTATTCTTCGTCCCCCCCCCCCCCTCCTTTTT